TCATTATATATTTTATAAAAATACAAAAATCTATACAAATATTAACATTTTTTTGATTTGTTTGTGTAGTAATGTCTATGTATATGTGCTCCCCATCTATCGGACGGGTCTAACACCTAGTGTTTAGAACTGCAAAACATAATCTTATTAATTATTGAGAGTTCATCTAATAAAATAATATGTTATTCTTCATTACTTTTTTCAACATATATTATAATTGGGGAATGTGAGATAGTTTTTTGTTGTCCTCTCACATTATTCTTACAAAAACTTTAGTTTTTAGTTTCTTTTTCTTCTTAAAACAAAAACTGTTGTATCTTTTCGTTTCATTTTTCATATTAATTTTTTAATATTTATTATGATCTTTTATCACAACTATTAAATTTTTTTTATCTCCTTTTATCTTTATTGTTTACTATATGTGTTATATGTTTCATATCCCTTCATCTTATGCTCTTAACTATCGGTGTTAAATTTCTTATTTATTTTTCTTCTATTCTTTAAGGCCCTATTTGGTTGTCCAGGAATTTGGGTGAGGAAAGTAATCTTTTTTACATATTTTTAAATTCCTTTATTTGGTTTGATTTCATAAGAGTAAGAAAGTAAGAAAAATCCCAAAAATAAGGAAAATGATGTTATTTTCCCAAAAAATGATTGCTCTGCCTAAACATGTTTTTCTTTTTCCTTTCCCCAGGAATTAAACCCACAAAGTGCGCTTGAATTTTTAGGACTCTCTTAACCCTTATCTTTATCTTAACCGATCCTCTAATATTCTAAAAATCTATTTATATTTCTTCTTCATTCTTCGACGTCAAAACCTTCATGGCGGCTGTTGTTGCGAGGGTGTTTTCTCTTCTTTTTTGGTTTTTCAAACTTGCGGCTATTGTTGCTGAAGCAAAGAGAAAAAATAAGAAGTGGAAAACTCCAAGTGTGATTGTTGTGTTCTCCAAACCATTGAATTGGATTTTTTTTTTTCATATACATAACTAGCTTATTCATTTTACGTATCAATGCTACTAGATGTGATGGATTTGGAGAATTCTTGATTCGGTGGATGCATATGGTGCTTATTAGTACTTATTAGTGCTTTAATCTCACTGTTGCTTTTCATTATAAAAAAAAAAAGAAAGAAAAAACTAAGTACCATTCAAAAATATTTATTGCAATTCTATTCTTAGATTTTGTTCTATAATTGCTTCAAGAGAATTAGTTTGGGCAGAAAAACTATATCATTGATAACTAGTTGTTATACTCGCACGATGTGCGGGGTAAATTACAATATTTTATTAAATTACATATAAAATATTTCAAAAATATCAAATGTTTGCAAAAACATAATTTTGTAAATAATGAATGTTAAAAGTTTGAACAAACAGAAAGCTATACTACATGATAGATGAAACATATTTTTTCGGCACCATGAACCTATAATGTTAAAAAAATCACGATATAATAGGAAATTGTGAAAAAATATAATAAATGAATAATCGTAATCTTTTTTTTTTTTTTGGTCGAAGAATAATCGTAATCTTAAAATGAAAAAATAGACATTGCGTAAAAATACACCTTCGTCCTAACATTGACTGTCCAGATTTTGTCACTTTAGACATCATTAAATTTGAAATGTTTTGTGTACAAAGAATTGTTGAATTCTCTGCGAGATACATTACCTTTCAATGCAACCATGTATAAACTCTAACGTCCTGTCTTTGCCAACCAAAATGACATTAGTCTAACAAAAATTAATTATAATTGATTATGCTCCAACGGTCAATTTTCTTGAGCTTAAGACATGGTTAGACACCGTAATTTGTCAACATAAATTACTCATCATTGTCATAATCTCCGTAATGCACCTTCGCCTGGGAGGAGGAAAAAAAAAAGACAGATCTTGAGAACATGTTGACAACCATAAAGATCATTTAATTTAACAAAAGATTTTAATCATATCAACAATACTCCTAGAATTACCCCTATAATCCTATCATACACATAATTTGCCCTTTTTTTAATGTATAAAGATTGTTCTTATTTATCTTTTGGGGTTTTTTTTTCCCTTTCTGAAAAAAAAACTATAGATTTAATAACTTTCTGGTCATAAAATTAGTCATATGGTAATTATAAAAAAACGTGTTGAATATAAAAAACGGGTAATTAGAAGCAAAATAATTACACTACCGTGAGGGAGGAACACAAACCTGTTATGACCTCCATGAATATACTGATTAAAATTATTTCCTTGTGGATGAACAACCCATTATGATGCCAAGAAGCTTTCATGTATCTTTGCTTTAATTTCTTCATATCAATGACGTTGCTGAGTATTAGCATGTGAGGAGAGGATTTTGTTTTCAGTGCCCAAAGTTTTGATAAGAATATATAATATCATTCGGTTTCATGCATGATCTATATATATAACTGCATTAGGGATTGATTAATAATTTTGGTGATTATTTTGGGGGAGGATCGTTTAAACATGATATTCTACTCGATCATATCACCAATTTAAATTAATTGGTCCTTATTATTAATGGTGATTGGTGTGTTACCATAATAAATTCCTTTGATATCATCTAATAAGATAAGATCGAAAATTTTATCTCTACACATTGATTATGATTTGATTTTTCTATTTTAAATATAATTTTTCAAATTTCAAATTGATTCCTTTTATTATAAAATATTAATTCGGTGCATTTATTTAATCAAGATCGGAATATTTTGGCATAAACACTATTATGCAAGGACTATTGTTATAAATGTAGATACTTTTTTTTAAAACTTTGAGAGATTGTCACATAGGATTTTATCCTATATGGCACCCTTAAAAATCCTTATTTGTTTCTTTCCCTCGTTTCTCTCTTAGTATAATAATATAGATTTTTTTTTGGAGGTTTGAAGTTTGATGTTCACTAGAAGTTTCCTTTTCTGAAATGATTTTTTCTCATAATAAATTTGGTTTATGACATTACAATATGTATAAAAATAAATTCAGACTTCAAGTGGAGTCTTGATGAATTTTTTTTGGTGTTTGTTTAACTGATGAATTTGTCTTTTGGGTTCACTGTTTATTTTATTGATGCATAGTTAAAAATTTTTATGCGTGTGTATTCTCATTTACTTTAAAAAGGGCATTTTAGATAATTTGTTTCTTATAGATTACATTTCTAAAATAATTGAATTAATCCAAACACTGAAAATTAGAATACCAACAATTACATTCATTGCACATCCAAACACGGAAAAGTAATGTATTTTTCTTAATTTTCCTCAGAATTAGAATTCAAGGAATGACAACTTTACTTTCCTTTACATTTCCAACAACCAAATAGGCCCTAATAGTATAATACTTTTCATCTCCAATGTTGGTTTTCTCTCTTCTCCTCGTTTGTTTTTATCTTTTGTCCAAGTTTTCTCTCATTTTCTCTCTTCTTTTGCCATTTTTTTTTTTTTACAATTTGATTGAAAGTTCAAGTTCAATTCGAACAGAAGTAGAGATGCTCATGTTTGGCTAATTAGATAAAATAAAGTTGAGTTGCAAGATCCAAAAGCAGTAGATGAAGATTGTAACAGAAAAATTTGAAATTTCTTTTTCAAACATAGATGTCTTCTCGATTTCAGGTAAATTTGAAGCGTTTAATAATTTACAATTCATCAGTAATAGTTTTTAATCTATTTTTTTTCACTAAACACTTTCAAACTATGATTCTCTTTTACAAAAACATTTCGAGTCATTGAATTTATTCTTGTGAATGTCAAATTAAGTTTAAGTGAGATTACATTTATATATCTCTCTTAGTTCTATTTTAATAATTTATATTATTGTAATAAAATGGATTACAAAAATAAGATAAATGGAGCATTCTTTTATTGTTTCTCTCTTCATATTTAAACATTTTATAATTGCATACTTAGAATTAACATATATAATCATACTTATATTGTTTTATATTGCAGCACGTGTGAAGTACGTTTGATCCATCTAGTTGGTGAAAAAAAGGAAATATATCAACAATCAAACTAGTTTATTATCGGTCATTCATAAGAACCCTTCTAACATTGTGGTTAACCAATCCACTTAGCTTTGGAGGTGGGGAATCCAATCGTTCGACCCCTACTGGCCAGCAATAAATGAGGACTGAATCGAACTTCAAACATAATATACATTTTTTTCCCTCTCTTCCTACTTTTCCTTCTTTTTTTTTCTTTCTTTTAAAATTTCCTTTTCTCCTCCCTCCTCATTTACCAAGCTGTTTATGTTCTTCTTCTGCCGAAAGTATTGCTCTTTCATTACTAAAATGGTTTTTTTTTTTTGAAAATTATACTAAAATATTGATTCTTTCTTTTGGAAGAGTTTTTCTTTCTTTCTTTTAATGTTCGTATATTTTAGGTACACGCTATCTGCAGATCTAATGAACGTGAAAGAGATCTATATCAAGGACTAACATGGTAAAAGACTAGCAAATGAAGAAATGCTTTAGATATGAGACTTTCAAGTATCAAAGATATGAGATTCAGAGTCAGATCTGTTATTTTAATCTTGTTAAATCATAGTTGAATTTCATTTGTTACAATTTTGGTTCTCTTTAGAAAAATTTCTTATCATATGTTCTTATCCTATAATCACTAATGTCTTAGTCTAACCAAATTAATTTAACCTAACTTTGTACACAATACTGAGTTTATCTTTCGTCTTGTGGTTATGTATTGCGAAAAAGATGAATTGTAATAGTTCAGTAAAAAATTATTGTAATTCAATTCTTGTGATTACTTACTTTTTTTTTTTTCTAATATGAAATGATTATGACTTTTAACGCAGAAAGAAGAAAATAACGTACACTAAAAGCTACCACACCCTAGTGGCGCCCTGAACTACTTTACCAAATTAGGAAGTAAAGAGAATTCGGGGTAAAACCTTTAAAATGTGGTCAAAAAAGGCCTTGAAAGCTAAAAAGTATATACAATCCAAAGAACTTTTACAAATGACGCACCATTTGTGACAAAGAACACCCATTTATTCCAACATATTGCATTTCCACTCCTTTGCTTAGCTAGTTTCCACTCCACAAATACTGCTTTCCACTTTCTAGTACATTCCTTAGCCTTCTCATTTCGTCCTCTTTCCTTAGTCACAAATTTGTTCCATGCGCTAAAGAAACAAGGAAAAGAACTTTGCATATTCCTAGCTTTTATCTCCCCAATTTTCACATGCATATATTAAAATCACACTAATATGTAAAATTAACGTTACTTTCTCATTCTCGAAATAATTCTACGAGGAGAGACTATAATTTATTTAGATGTTGATACCATACGGTCCATGCTCTAATAAAGTCACGTTTTTTCATTTCCCAACTCCAAAGCCCAGACCCCCAAACTAACGGTCACATTTGCAGTTCTCTGTCATAAATCCTACCAAACAGAACACCAAAGGTCCCAATTTTCCAAACTTTAACTTCTCCAAAACCTCCTTATAACAATCACTGAAAAACTGTTCCTTTAAAACTGTTTTCAAGTTTCACCTAGTTTACCCTGCCCATTTCTCTTTACTTCCGACCAATCGTTTCCACGATTTCACATTATTTGGTCTCTAAAAACCCACATGGCTGTTACTGATCTTCTCGTACTCTGCTTTTTTTATGCTGTTACAATTTTCGCCTCCGGCAAGCTCGCCGGAGCGCAGAAAGACGGCAGCGGCGGAGCCGCCGCCGCCGGCGAACTGTGGTGTGTCGCTAAAAACAACGCCCAGGACTCGGTTCTTCAGACGGCATTAGATTGGGCATGTGGGCAAGGTGGGGCTAACTGTTCCCCAATCCAGCGAGGCGGGCCCTGCTATGACGCTTCAGATATTCAAAGAACGGCTTCTTTTGCTTTCAATGATTATTACCTCAAACATGGCATGACTGAAGATAGCTGCAACTTTAGCAATTCTGCCGATGTTACTTCCCTCAACCCCAGTAAGATTCAAGTTTTTTTTCCTTCAAAATTTGCCAGTTATATACAACAAAGGAAGTTTGTAGTTTGGTGATGACAATATGTTTGATCTGTAATGTTTGGTTTTTCATGTATTTCAGGTTACGGAAGTTGCAAATTTCCATCCAGGTAATAATTGAACATTGATTACTCGTAGAATTTTAGTGTACTTTTAAGTGGGTTGTGTTTGCTGCAATTGTATGAATCCTACTTCGTCCTCTGTTTAAAGGGCAGCATTTTTGGTATAATTTTGTTACTTCGCTATTGTCAATAGTACTCCCTCTCAAATACTAAATGTCTCTAGTAAATGATTTTGTTCAAAGAACTAGTTGAACCTCTCACTTTTAGGCCATGTTTTTGTTAATGAACTTGTCATTTTGGAGCTTGTCTTTACTGCGAAGGTGCAATTACGCATTTACCATTCTAGATTTGCTGCTACTATGTTGTGAATGGATCAAGCTGATGTCGAGTTGTTTGTATTTTGGAACAGCAAGAGTGCTATTAATGGGAACGTCTCTGGATCAGTTTCTTCTGGGGGAGGATCTGGACCGGCTGTAGATGACAGTAGTAGTAGCAGCTACCTGGTTTCGGCGTCGAGGTGGATGTGGAGCTTCATCATCATTCATACGCTCTTTACCATCTCAAGACGTCGCTGATGAAAGCTTGTAGTTTTGTTGTTTGTCACTTAGTTTTGATCATTTTGAGTTGTCAGTGGCAATACTATTATTGCTCAGACGAGGTAGATAGATCCCTGTCCAATTGTAAGGGTCATTTTCAGTACATTGATAATTGATTAAGTACAACCCCATTTGAATTTTGAACATTTTCCATTTTCTAGATCAGCGTTCTCTACAATAATAACGATTGAAAGAAGAGCCTAGAATGATGAAATCTGCTAAACTACAATCAGTAGAAATAAGTTCTAAGCAGTATAACATGATAGCAAGGAAAGTAAAATGAAAAGGGGGGGATTTTCTCCATAAGATGAAGTTGATCATTGATCCTTTTTGTCACTTCCAATCACACGGGTACTAAACGAACTGCAGTGGTTGCACCTGTGACCAAATATATGAAATGATGCTTTACTAGTCCTGTCGCAGTCGTCACAGAGAATGGAGACCTGCGAAAATCAATCAGCGGAAGAAACTTACAATGGCAGAAGATAAACAAGATAAGCATCCGAGAGAAAAGGACCCTTTCACAACGGATTAAGCAGATATTGTACCCTTTCAGAGGGCACATAAAGAAATCCAGCACTAATTATGACGGAAATAACAGAATCATCTCAGTCCATTTGGGAACGAAAGAAGCATTTGAGAAGTTGGACTTACTTCAAACAGGTATTCCTCAGGCATTGGTGTACCTTCAATCTGTCCAAGAAAAACACCATCATAAATGAAGTCCGGGAAAGGAAACATTCTTAACGCCAATCAAATATAATTTCGGCACATAAATGAGTTACGTAGCCTCTGCAGATTTGGCAAAATGAGCTACAGCTCAGACACCTCATCAGCCATGATGTTGAAGTACATTGTTTAGATTCCTACATCAGCTAAAGTTCGTTGATCACGCTAATGTAAATTATTTAGTCTTTATGTTTTTTTTTTTTTTCCGGACTTAGAAGCCGTCAAAGTTGCATTATGTGCTGCTAGACAGAAGAACTTGCTACAAAAGAAGTTGCTTTTTCACTCCACAAATGCATAAGCACAGAGCTGAAAGAAAAGAATATCATACTTCCTTATCTAATTTTTGGTGGGCTTTGGACATGTCGAAGGCTGGCTTTGAGCAAATTGCGCATTGAGATTGTGATCTAAAACGAATCCAAAGCAACAAGAAATGTGTCAAGATAGCAGAGGGAGAGCAAATAAAGAGGAAGGAACAACATAAAACTCACAACCAAAACAGCTTCTTCGGTATTGGAGCAAAACAGAAATGACGAGAAACGATAAAAGAGTGGCAGGAAGACATTACTGATTTGGTTTCATCATCTCAGGAGAGGAATCCATATGCTTCATATGTTCGCATTCCATACTGCCTTAAACCGAATCAAACAAGAAATTTAGTATACAACACCAATCGTTAGCCAAACCAAAGAACAGCAAAGTACATTTAAATAAAGTAATCATCAGTCCATCAATTCTTCCTAAAGTTTCTGCTCCGTATCTGTTTGTCCGAGCTAATCATGATTTACAGTTCTACACAGCCTAGAAGCTAATGAGACTGCAACTTATGTGGGAAAACAAGGTTTCAACAATGGTAATCGGTAAAAGTTAGCAGAGATTATTACTGTCATTGTATCGTCTTCAAACGAGGATTTAGAATAACAAAGAAGATCAGGCTCTCCCCAGATGCAAACATCACTATACATCATATACCACCATTTGTATGAATTGACTTATTCACAAATTTCAGAAAAGTCCAATTCCCACACAACAGCACCCCAAAAAGGGGGGAAAACAAATATTGAAAAAAATCTGTGTCATATCATCTCAAAGAGCAAGAAGTAGCAAGAAAAACCAAACGAGGGGATAATAAGAAAGAAATTTGCCAGCAACATGGTGAATTTGCAGCATGAATCAAAACACACAGACAAAACCCAGAAATGTCCGAACATGAAAATGGAAAGTAATCACTTGGTTTGGTTGATTTCTCCAGACAGAAAACCTTACTCAACTTCTTCAGCTAACCCAAATCGCAGAGGATACCTTTAAGTTTAAGGCTTTACCCATAAACTCAAACGCAATCGCAACGGGTTTTGATCCTGTGATTCTTGTTACTGGAAGGTCAACGGATCAAAAGTGGGGATTTCATTCAATAATCGGATAATTCATAAAATGCAGAAATTTAAAGGACTAATATTAGCAACACAAGATTCACGTTTAAATATAAATAAAAACAAAAACTGTCTTCTTTTTCTTTTTTTTTTTAATTATACAAGGTAACACATTTCATTACTTTCTCCATATAATTTCCAATTTAATAACTTAACCCGACTAACGAGTTTCATCAAAGATCAAAGCCATAGAATTATATATGATTTTTTTTTTTGCCAACTTCCCTAAGTATAAATGAAAGTGGCACAATGATGAAAACCCGTCTAACACGTATTGAGGTATAAAAAATAAACCTGAATTTTGATATTTTCTCAAATTTAGACTTATACTTGGTATTTTAAAAAAAATAAAAGTAAAAAAACTTATACTTGGTATACAATAATAATGACTGATAGGGTTACAAGTAACATTTTTGAATTATTGATTGACCTATAATCTTTGAAATCAAGGTCTCCGGAGATAGGTTTGACACTTGACAACACGAGAATCAAATATGAGATATCACTTCCTCTTATTCGAGATTCTTATCAGTAAACTTGAGTATGCGATTTTTGTAATTTGAGACAGGCATAGTGATGAGAAATACAAGTGAAAATTTGTAATAATTTTATTATGAAATCAAACTAGTATCAGATTGTGTTTATAACTTATACATCCATTCATGTTAATCCAAATTACTCGTTGAATTGAGTTGAGATCCCCTAATTTCCATTCATGGAAACTAAACTCATAGTACATGGTCTTTTGTGGACCTTAAAATCAAAATTTTCATTAATTGATCAGTAGGGTTTAAGGTACACAATATAAATACATATATGCTACATCAAGCACTTATTGTTCATACTTCTTTAGACCTTTTTACAATCTAAAACCACCAATAACAAAAAAGAAATATTGAAATTCAACCAGTGAGTGTTATTAAATATACAAATTACAAATCTATGAATAATGATAATCAAAGGAATTTTTGCATTTTCGACAAATATTTAGCTTTGCTTTATACTCCCTCTGTCCCAAAATTATTGTCCAATTTGAGATTTCACTTTTAGTACAATTGGAACTAGAAATGAAAATCCAAACTGGACAATAATTATGTGATGAAGGGAGTAATTAAATTAGCCCTTCAAGGTTTAGGATCACTTAGCATAGCAGCCATAGAGGTACGCAAAGCGCAGTCGAGCTTTGAATTTTGAGTTAAGCATTCCAAGTGGAAAGTAGCAAAGGGGCTTGATGTAATTATCAATAATGATGAGAATAATAGGTAGTTTTACGAAAGATGAGGGATGTCAATTAAACTCGCGCTGAAGATATTTGTTAAATAATGTTTACATTTGTCTATTAGTGAAAAGCTTCTAGTACTACAAGGAGTAGTGCTTTGCTTTTTCTTTAGTAATTTTATGGAATAAATGTTTGCATCCAGACCTAAAGAAATGCATAAAAGGCATTGATCCTCAGTCTTGGTCGGTCTTTGTACCTTTTAATTTTTCACCATTTTTTTTTTGGGTGGGGGGGGGGGGTTTAAATGGTAACTTTCTTACCATTAAGCTAGTGCTGCTAGTCGCCTTGGTTAATGCCTCCATCACAACATGTTCAAACAAATTGGACATACAACTCGAGTTAATATAAAAAAAAAAACCACATAACTTGGTTTAATGTCTCTTTCAATTAACAAAGTATCGATGCAAAAATTGTTTTTCCTAAAGATATGCACGAACCGTACGTACCCTCAGTCAACTGTTAAAACGTCATTTATTCTTCTTCTCAAATCAGGTTATTTTCAGCAATTTTTTCCAGTCACATGTCAAGAATTTCTGCACATATTTTTAATATTCAATATGTAAGAAAACGAAATTTTATTCAAACTTTTTAAACAGTGAAAATTCGAGTACAAAGAGGAGTACAAGAATTACGCCAGTATTCGAGATCCAGATTCAAAACTAGGCGACAGATTTATGACATAATATCTCGATCTTGGCTGGAAATTTATGCATGAGGGATGAAGATGCCGTACACACATTACAGCAATTCTAATAATTAATAACAAATTAATGCAATTTTCTGATTGTGCTTCCACGTTTCTTAACTAATTGTTTAAGTCCGCGGTCCAGTTGGGTTTGATCGTCGACTGGCTTAAGTCTTAATCCCAGGGTATATTAGTTGCCAGGTATTTTCGACTCCAACCACATACCTCTAAATGTTAGTTAAGGAACATGGAACATGTTTACTGACGTATTTAATGAGTAAATTTGTCAAAGAAAAGGAAATTGCAAGCCACATTTTCTCTTCCCATATAATGAAAACGTTTACCGTGAATTATCTTTACAAACTTCTAAACTACTGACTCCGGTCCTTAATATAAGACATTCTGATTTGTCATGTGTTTCACTTAGTATACATTTTTAATTGACAAAAAAATCTTAAAAATATTTCATAACAATTAATAGAACACAACGAATGTATAAATATATATTTTAAGATTTTTTATCAATTAAAATTGTGTACTAGGTGAAACCTATGACAAATCAAAATTTCTTACATTAAGGACCAGATGGAGTATCATAAATGAATCTCATCTCATTTCTTGATAAAACTATTCGATTACCAAAAATAATACTTTCTCAGTCTCTCTGTCCCAAATCTATTGTTATGTTTGAATTTTCACTTTTATTTCAAATATAACTAAAAGTGACAATTTAAACTGGACAATAATTTCTGGATGAAAAGAGTGTCTGTATTCGTTTTTTTTTTTTTTTTTGGTACAAAGAAGCTAGCTAGTAAATACACCTTACATGAGTTTACCTGCCACTTTTTATGAGATGAAAACTCTGATAATGTCGTATTTGAACGGTGAAATGATAAGACCAATGTTGCCATCGCTATTACATAACCACTCGACGATGCATTACTTTTCCAACAAATTGTTACTATTTTATTTTGGAAACAAAGGAGTAAACTTTACGTTATAACATAGACTTCATGAGGGTGTGAAAAAAGGAAAAATCTCTAGACATGGGTTTTGAATGAGGGGAGGAAAACCTAACAATTGGACAACAAGGAAAAAAAGGTTTTCTACCAAAAAAAAAAAAATGTCAATATTCAACAGTCAACGCTTGTTTCATTAAGCTGGAGTTTCTCATTATTTTACTCATGGATTCCCATTTCCCACCAGCTCACGCCATCTTCTTCCTCTCCTCAAGTCAATTACTCAAACACATATTTGATGGCATCATCAACCCAAGAGTCAAATAAATTAAAACTTGCACAACTTAACCAAAACCCAAAAACAATTGAACCCCAATACTTACTCCCAAATCATTTTCCATGTCAAAGATTTAAAAGTTCATAAACTACTCCACCATTAGCAGAATCCTCCTGAGGCACGAGTTCTAGCAAAAGCTACCATGGCTTCCGACGATTCACAGAATTTTCCATCAACATCATCATTCTGGCATCCTGAAAACCACAAATACGATATGAACAGCAAGATCATGCTCACAGCTATAATTTCCTTGTCTGTAGTTGTGATCCTGGTTTCAATGCTTCATATATACGCCAGGTGTGTTCTCCGGCGACAAGCGCGGCGGAGGGCGGCTCTCCGGCAGCTGAGGATCATCGCCACGGCCCATTACCAGTACGGTGATCAGATACAGCAACCCAATAGTGGGCTTGATCCATCTATTATCGATTCATTGCCGAAATTCATAATCAAACGAGATAGGGAATTAAAAGATGTGGAAACAGGGGAATTAACAACAGCCGGAACAGAGTGCTCTGTTTGTTTAAGCTTGTTGGAAGACGGCGAAATTGCACGGAAATTGCCGAATTGTGGGCATGTTTTTCATTCCGAATGTATTGATACTTGGCTTAATTCGCAATCCACATGCCCAATTTGTCGAACTGGAGTTGAACCCAGGCCGGGATCATTAGCCGTGATACCTGAGCCGAGGGAGGGTGCGGTCGGAGTTCCAGTTATTCCGATTGGGCCGTCAGAATGTGGAGCCAATTTGGAAGGAACTTCCGGCGTCGGGGGCTCGGCTAGAATCAACGGGTCGTCAAGCTTCCGGTTGAGTTCGTTTCGGAGTATTCTTAGTTGGGATAGGGATCGATCTTCAAAACGGATTCAACACACTGGAATTGGACAGGAAGATTGTTCGGTTGATCTTGAAAGGCAGTGAAGTTTATTGTAGGTACATAATTATAAGCTTCTATATTACTCTGCTTCATTTGATTTTTTTTTTGTTCGTTCGTGATCCTTGTATGTAAAATAGATTTTTCAGTCACATTATTAGCTTTATTAGAAAGAGAAGTGGAAACAAGTCGGCACTATACATTATACATATGATGAAGACATTTGATGAACTGCAGTCTCCTAAATCAGTTTCCTTTAAAGTCTTAGCGAATTCACAATATGAAAATTGTCCATCTTCGACATTATAGTGGATTTTCTTGTGGAGATGTGAGTATGTGATTGCTTTCAATCTTCAAACTTAGAGCAAGAAAATTGAGCTAAGTTCAAAGCTTCAGAATTAGAAACTTTAGTTACTGTCGAGCCAGCAGGCTTGAACTATAATTCTTGAGTGAAACTTGAATTTAATATGAGTTTAAGCTCAAGTTCTAGTGATTTGTCTTGTCGCAAATAGAAATTGAATCTCAACTCGGATACCATCAAATTTTACGAGCTCAAAGCACAACAAGCTCGAGTTCTACTCGATTCCTAACTTTCACTTAGTTGAAGGTTCTTGACCGGAGAACTAGAGTTCCAAGAATCTATTGCATGGAAACAAGTGTAATGCAAAAAAGGTTTTATCTCAGCTATCAAGACTTATGAAAATATTATCGAGATTAAAAAGGGAGAGAAAAGAAAAGAGAGATGGCTTTACATCAGTGAAGTAACCAACCAAAAAAAAAAAAAGGAACAAAAAATTGGCTCTGTTTCCTATAACTATATGATTTGCATTTATATCTTTACGGCTTTACCTTTTTTGATAGATGCAGATGTAGAGCACATTATTATAATTAATAATGATGTTACCTAATCTTTAAAAGATAAGCAGATGTTCAATTGGCGGTCGTCAAATATGACAAACAAGTACTGTTTCTGTTCTAATAACAAGTACTGTTTCTTTTCTAAAAAAATAGTCCATGTGAGTGCGGAGTTAATGGAGTTTATTTTAGGGACTGAATTTAACTTGGGAACTCGGATGTCGTCGGGTTATGGCTGAGATCGATAGTTTTGCAGCGTTGGTGTTGGTGCAGAAGGGTGAGGATGAGTTAGGATTCCATGGTAGCTTTGTACGTGATATTTGGGAGTTGATGGGTAGATCATGGGAGGTGAAGTTCAAGCGTGTTTCTCGAAAAGTAAATTTTGTGTCAGATTGTATAGCGGATGTTGTTACGCGATGTTCTGGAGGTGTTCATCGATTGCCTCTTTCACCTTTTGATATTAGATAGTGGCTGTAGAAGAAAATTGGTATTTATTTAGAAAAAAATAAAAACAGAGAACAAATTAATAGAATGAAGGACTACATTTCTATTTCTTATTTCCTTAATGAATAAAATACATCAAATGCCTTTTTATAGGCTTAGTCTATAAATATGATAATCATATAAACTAATTAATTTTTTATTTAAGTGATAAATATAAATAGTTGATTACTAGAAGTAACCAACTAGATTAAAACTAATCTAAGACTTCTATCTTTTTTATATATCTTTTAACAACTGGAACACGACGCAGTCGGTATTTTCTATTTTCACAATGTTTTAATTTCCCACAGTTAAACTTCGGACTCTTTCATTATAACCAAAAAAAAAAAAAAAAAAATGTCCAAAACATAGAATGGAGTACCTCTCTGGGGCGGTGGGAGTAAATTGTAAATAAAAATGGAGAGTCATGAAAGTGAAACTGTATTTGGTGACCTAAAGACGCATAATTTGACAACTGCAACTGCAAAAGGTTGGAAATTTGGAATCTATGGTTAGGTTGGCAGAGCATGTGTGAACTATATAATACCAGTAATAATTTTCGGCTTCACATGTCACCTAAAACAAAATCCGGCTCTAACAACTTAATGATCTTTGGTCGGACCAAAAGACACTTGACATTTTTCAATACATTATTTGAACAATGTTTTATCACCTTCTAGTTCTAAGGTTTAAATACAGTGAAAGTGCCAACTTTTGTGATTTTTAATATGCTAAAATTTTTCCTTTAAAAAATTAAAATAAAATAAAATAAAATAAAATTGGAGTTATTGATAGCAGACCATTAATTCTCATGCAAAAAATGATACTACATAGATTTGCATGTTATGATTTAAAAGGACACATAATGAACAAGTAGATTGCACACGAGCAATTGCAACTTTAAAAAAACTGAACAATGATGACAAGTATGATAATAATTAGTATAAATAAGTTCACAACGTTATGTGTTCGACTACTTAACCGGGAGATTGGGCCATTTCATCCCAATGTTTAACTCACACCATCTAAAATATCCCAAAGTTTAAAAGTATGCCATTTTCATCCCAAACTTTTCAAAAATATGTAATATTAGGACATTTGTTAATTTTTTCAAGTTATTAACGGCGATATTTCATTCAGTTTCTTTTTTCCCATTTTTTTTAGTCAAAAAAGTTTCATGCTTGCGTTTAGTAAATTTGGTCCATGCCAAGCAAAAAAGTTGCATGCCCCTGCATCAATTACAACTAATTTTTATAATGATGCTACATATTTAAAAAAAATAAATGAAATAAGACTTACTTTCTAAATAGGACACACACAAAACCTCTCATGATTGTTATCAATCTAGAAGGTGAATCTTGGATTTTTTTTTCTTTTTCTAAGCAAGGGAAGAATGGATGATGTGAAGACCAAATTAGATTTAGCTATTTTCTTATAAGGTGGGAGTTAATGGAACGTGTTAAATTAAAAGAATTGGAGGAAGAAAAACAGAATAAAATACCACCACTAATTAATTAATTGGAGTTAAAAATTTAACGAATATCCTAATGTAACATGTTTTTAAAAAGTTTGAAATGTAAATGGCATATTCTTAAACTGTGGGATATTTTGGATGGTGTGGCCCAAACATTAGGATGAAAAGACCCATTTTCCCCTACTTAATTTACACTTTACCTGGTTCGTCTGGGGTATGATTCTTGGAAACGGGTTTCATTTTCTAGGGATGGGGAAAGGGTGTGAAAACTCTATTTTAATTAATTTTTAACTACTTGTTTTATATGTGTATTAAAGTGAAAATTATTTCAAAATTCCATTTTCATCCATATCTGCTCTGCACCTTCTGCTGCTACTTCCACCACCTCCTTTGATTTTGAGAATCAAAACTTTTGGGCCTAAACTGACTTCTTGAACCCAACAAATATTAGTATCAATTTCCCATGTCTCCAAACTCAGAAGTTGAAAGTACAAGCTTAAAGCACAATTAAAGTAGAGAAATATGCAAACAATTGATACAGAAGCTAAGAATGTCTTTAATCGAAACCGAAAGACATATAGCTAGTCTAACGATTACTTGTCCATGGAAGCCCAAATTCGTACTCGTCAATTTGAAAATTAGAGAATTTTGGAGTGGTTTGGTGACGGTGGAGAACCGGAGGGAGAGATAATGTTGATAGTGGACGTGATGAAAGGAATTGGGGCAAAGAAGAAAATAAGGAGGGTAAATGAGGAAAAAGAACTGTCTGTTGGTTTATGTCTTTCAAACCCAACAACTTAATTTGGATATGTAAAAAATCTTCATTTTGGGAATGAAATCCATTGTTTGTGGGCCAGCTTCTCTCACCAAGCAGCACAAATGGAATTCACACCCATTGAACTGAATTGATTCCCCCCAACCAGGCACCTAAATATAATGTAAATCTAAATTAATCCTCATCTTCAAATACTCTTCCCAAAGTGGATCATATATTTTTACTCTCATTTCAATAGGAAATACAATGGCGGTGCCTTTGGTGCCAAGTACAATGGCAATGACATGTATTGGCTATTGAGAATTGGTGACTCAGTTGTTAACGTTTGGCAATTTATCTTAACCTTTTTTTTTTTGAAATATGATAGCTGTAGTTATATTTATTAGCATTAACGTTTTAACCTTCATCTTAACCTTGATGAAGAAGCACCCCTTCCATTCAAAAATAAGTGTCGTTTTAGCAAAATGTAGAAATTCCAAAATAAGTGTTGTTCTCACATTTCAATGCACTTTTTGTCAAAAGTTTCTAAAATTACTCTCAAAAGAGTTGATGCTAATGGTGGACAATTTTATAATGGGGTTGGTTGAGGATATTCAAGTAATTTTATTACTTTATTTAAGAGTTTCTTAAACTATGTGTAAAGTGTAGGACGACACTTATTTTGGAATAGAGGGAGTATTACTTCTTCATTTATTTGCTTTAGACTTTCACTTCACTTGAGTTATCACGTCTTTTCATCATTTTCTATTATCTTTAACTTTTTTACATATTGCTCTTTAAAAATTTCTCTCCCTACCCATGTTTTCCACATTCCTATTCTCACTTAAACCATTTTCTCTTTATACATGTTTCTCATTCGCTTTATAGAATTCTTTTTTGATAATTTTCAACAATTTTTAAAAATTTTTTTTTTCTCCTTTTTCTTAATTATAAATTAAGATTTTTTATTTTTTATTCTTTTTCATATTGCATGCAATTAAACGCTCGACTTATGGTTAATGACGGAATAAAACTCCACCACTAACCCTTTTGGTTTATAAAATTGAGATTATTCGGCCAGGAAAGAAAACATCACCAAAGGCCGAAGCCCAAGTCATTTATATGGTTTATATTGAATAATCAATGACTGTAATTCGTCACATTCACTTACAAGCTGAAATGGGGAACGTCAACAAAAAAGAAAAAGCCCAAACTCAGTACCCACATCCCACATTCACAACATGTAAGAAGAAGAAAGCCCAATTATCTTGCCGAATACGTGGCATTTTCCTTTTCTAATTGTTTATTTTAACATTTTAACTCATTATTTTTTCTAATATTTGAGGTATCTTTAATTCAACGAGCAAACTAATGACGGGAAATATCATATTATATGTAAAAATAAAACTCATTATGTCTTCATGCACTCATTTAGCATTTTAAATTTATTTTTATTTTGTACTTATGTAAAGGCGGAATTTCGAAAATCCAACATCTTTGAGGAAGAAGAAGAGAAATGCTACGTTTCTCTTGTGTACTGGCTAGTAGTGATTGAGAGAAGACAAAGGACTTTTCAATTCACTTCCTGTAATATCATTTTGGCTAGCTTCCATAAACAACACCCCCCCCCCCCCAAAAAAAAAAAAAAACAAAAAGAAATGTTAGCGCATGCTTTGATTACCCCCATCGCGATTCAATACATTTTTTGAATGTGTGATTTTACTATTGAGTTAATCAACCAGTTGTTCCTTCAAACAAAAAATTGACGCAAGTTTTGTAGATTCTAGTTGATGTCCCATGCAGTTTTAGATTTAAAAGTAAAGTTTGCATTAGGTTGAGAACTAAGACTAACATATATAGAATTTCGCCACAATTCATGAATATAGATTGTAGTTATTTTTCATTAATTGTGAAGGGCCGCTTACCGCCAAGAAATCGATTTCAACAAGTTTTTGGGGCAAATTATAAGCTAGTCTCTATGTGACTACAAAACTGTCACTATACGGATTACTAAGCTCCATTTCCATGAATTAACTACTAAATTGGAGCATTTGGCTTAGCCTAATTTGTTTATCTCTTCAATCCTAATCACGTCAATGTGGGCATAGTAGAGACAAAATGACAAGATATATACGAGAATGAAAGACTAACCACCAAATCAAACTACATAAGACACAATCAGATATGTTTCAATTTCAATTGTTTTTAAATAAGAGAATGAAATGTATCATTAGATACTTCCATTTGACTGATGAACCCAAAAAAAAAAAAAAAAAAGTATACATAAACAAATACAATTTCAAGTTCAACGTAAACTATGGACCAGAACGAAAAGGACATAACAATTTAATGTAACACAATTGCTAGTACACACACAGGATGACTACAGGAAAAAGAAAAAAAACAAGAATTTATGCACCCCAAAATTGAACAAAAAGGTAGAAGAAGAAGAAGAAGAAGAAGATGATGATGAAACAAAATGAACTGTGTCTTTCCCCCCATTGTCTTCAAAAGATTATCCATCACCAACCGTTCAATTTGTTCTAAAATTAAAATAGATTTCGGGATTGTATCAATCACCACCTGGAATTGAAACAAAATTGCATAAGAGAGTAAGATACTGCAAATATATTTAGTGATTTAACTCGATAACAAGTTAAGTATAAAATGAAATAAAACGTGTTTATGCTTTCCAAACGTGTCACAAGTGATGCCGAACTATATTTCACGGTACGAAATCAATATATGTTGATATCATTACTGTTTTGGTAAATAGGGAAAACTGAAGAAAAAGCATTAAGGGTTTTTTTTTTAATTTTTTAAGAAGTACTGAAGTACATACCTTCAGTAAGCTTTGCATTTATAACTTAATGTTCCGAACTTGGAGAAACCGAGGATTGGTGAAGGGACACAACTCCGGTGCTGGGATCCTCCTCGCCGCGAATTCGAGCCGGAATTTGAAAATCAGAACCAAAATGGAAGTTGTAAAATGGAGATGATGAGTGATTGAAAGCCTGCTGCTGCTGCTGAGTGCTAGAATGATGATGATCCACATGAGAGGGCATCTGTTGTTGTTGTTGTTGTTGTTGTCTCTCATTACTACTCCAGGCATGAAGAAGTAAATTTGAATAACTGTTGGACTGAAGGGATTCCCTCTGATGATGCTGATGCTGATTATGAGAAAACAATGCTGATGAGCTTTGGCTGAAAAGCAGTTGTTGTGGCAATGAATGTTGAATATTATTGAATATAAATCCAATATTATTCCCTCTATTCTCTCCTTCTTCATGATATTTACCACTTGTAGTACCATTAGACCAAGACTCGTTACTTTTCTGATGATGATGATGGTGGTGGTGATAATTTGGTGCATCAAACATGCTCGTCGGATTCGTCCCAGAAAAATGGTTCATATTTTCATCACCACCTTGCAAATTAGTATGCAATGATAACCCAAGATCTTCACTATGAAGAAGAGGGTGTTGTTGTTGTTGTAATCTTGAAATTCTACTAATCTCATCATGAAAGGAACCTCCACCGCCTTGCATTTGCATCAATGAATTATTATTATTCCCGGTCGGACTAACCGGGAAAAAAGACTTCATACTATCAGCAATTGAATGTGTCTGAATAATACCCGAAAAAGGGTCGGCTGAGCTGCTGCCGGGATTCGAATCGGAAGTGGTTGGACCTCCTCCGGCGGCGGCGGCGCCGTTGGTGAGTTCATTCAGATTAGGATGGTGGCCGCCGGAGGGGGATTCAGCGAGCTTATCGATGGCGGTTTTCGCCTTCTTGATGAGCCAATCAACGGCTTTGCTGGGTCTATCATAGCCTAATCTATCCTGAACATCATAGAATTGAATCGCTGTGTGAGCTGAAAGCCTAACCCTTCTGTCTCTCGGACCTTTTGAAGTGTAAACTTTGCTGTGTCTGTCTTTCCGGCCGGTTGCCCGGAGGATATGTCCTCCTTGTACTTGAATTATCTCTCCCTGATGATGATGAGTACGGCCGCCATCTCCTCCTCCGCCGGCGGCGACGGCTCTCTTCATCCCTGCAGCCTTTGCATATTCTGTGGCTTCTCCTGCTACTGCTGGTAATGGAAACTTCTCTTTTTCTGCTTCTTGCTGGTAATAATCCCACCGGAAATCCAGATTTTCAAACCCTTTTGCTGTTTCTGCTTATAAATCCAAACCCACTTTTTTTTTTTTTTTGTCTTTTTTTTTACTTCTAAAGAAAAAAAGTAATCAAGAAAATTTCATGGCAGTGAGGTTTTATCAGAAGGACCCTGAAAACCTGATATGTATGTAAGTCTGCTAAGCTGCCAGTACTTTCTTATGATGATGATGATGATCCCAAAACTTCTGCTGCTGTAAATCTCTAGATCCCACAAATCCAAACCGACACTTCCCTATCCAAAAATCAGAGCTGAATATAAAGACAAAATTAAAGAAGGACAACAAATCTGTCAAGAAACAAAGAAGTGAATGGAAACTGTGTTTTTCTTTTTCTTTTTTTTTTTTTTTTCAAAAAGCTGTTTTAGCTTCTTAACCTAAAAGAGAAAAAGAAAAAAAAAATTGGTTAAAAAATTGAAGAAGGAAGAGGCTAGCTATAGCTAGGTAGCTTGGATCTTAAAAACTTTTGGTGCAGAAAATTTAATTGAAGTTGTTGTAAAAAGTGCATCAAAGAGGGGGAAAATTTTTTTAGTTGAGTGGTGAATCTAGAGGCATAGATGCCTGTACTGATGAAGTGTTTGTACTTGCTGAGAAGAATGGCTGGAATTGAAGAGAAGAGAAGAAAAAAAGAAAAGGGAGAGAAAGGAAAAAAGAAAATGAATGGAACAGTAGATTTATGAGGAGAGTGTAGTACCCTCTTGGTATGTCAGATACCTTTCATGCTTTATTGGTAGCTTTTGCCCACATAGAAGAAAATCAAAAGGATGGTTTTATTTCTTTTTTCTTTCAATGTTTTTATTGATTGATAGGTCCACAAATAACTTACTACTAGTATTCATTATTTGAACCAAATAATTCATGTCAGTACTAAACTTCTTTTTCTTTTTTTTAAAAAAATAATATGATATTTTCTGTGTCATTTCTTATAACATATCATTAATAATGTCTCATTAGTGAACGCTTATAATAAATCTGTTTAATACTTCTTCCATCGTATAAAAATAGTGTACAATTTGTTGTACAGATGATTTGATTTAACAAATCCAAATGTAATTTCTCATTCCATTCGTTTGATTTTGATTTTGTTACCATTTTAACATACTTTTGCTATTCAGGTTATATAGGTAGAAAGTTTCTTAAATTAGAATATATAAGACTTGTATCTGAAGACGATATCATGCATGGAAGGTGAGAAGTGATGGAAAAAATCTAAGTAAATGAAATTATGAAACAATAGATTGATCATTGAAGCGTCCCAAGTTGTCACTCACCAACTCCTCATTGAAGCTTTGATAGTGATCTTTAACAGCTTTCCTCGTTTATTTACTATTCTGTGTACTATATATCATTTCTACAAGGAAAAAAAAAAGCAATTCACTTTCACTAAAAAGAAACGACCAACATCCTGTGTTTATGTTCTTTTTCCCCAAGACATCATCTCAACAAACAGTGTCTATCGTCATGCCAATTTGTATGATTGCTCAAAACACAAAACAAACTATCAGGAAAAGAAGGGCTACTTCAGCATGCATGTTTTTCACTTGAGGCAAAAAAATACCAGCCTCGTAATAATAAAAAATTGTCATTATATCATTCCACTTAACCCTCTTACCTGATTTCTTTCTTGGTCTACCGTATATATATGAAGATTTATTATACGTTTGCGAAAAGAGATTGGTTAACATGTACGGAGAAATGGAAAGGTTGTATGAAATGCTAAATGTGAGAAATTATAATCACAAAATTGAGAATTTAAATATTAACAGGAGTGATAAAAAGTTATATTTTTATTTTTCGAGGAACAAACTTTCAATAGACGTTATGAATGCCACTATTGGCACAAGCTGGCAAAATTTCGTCTTGTACCTAAATAGGCTTTGATTGATGAACAACTTCATTAAAGATGATCAGAAGATATATATGGGCTAGGTCGTGGGGTTGGGCAGGGAAGAGGAAAACTCTTATTTCTGCCTTTCTGGTAATAAGTGTCGATTAATTAAGGAATCTGGTGAAACTTATTTAATTCTATCATAATTAATGATAGCTAGTATCTAGCTGGATATATATGCAATCTTACTATCTTAGTCCAAAAGATTGAAGGAATATATTATAGATTAAGTGGGTGTTACATAAAAAATATGCGAATGATATTGATTAAAATATTTATTTGTAAAAAGTTTTGTTTGTTTCAGAATTAATAATCGAATGAGTCGGGGCGATATGTGAAAGAAAAAAAAAACGACCTCGTTCTTTAGACATGCTAAAACAATGGAAGTAATCGAATGACTGAAGATGCTAAAAGTTGAACATACAAATGGAAAAAATTATGTGTATTTAGCTATAGTAATTATAAGCCTCGTTCAACATTGAATGAGCATTTAGTTAGGAAATAGACTATTCAAATAATTTGGAGCATTTATCTGTCTCGTTGAAAGGCTAACTCTCGACAGCGCCACAACATTGATACTCAAATTCTTTCTTTGTGGTTTGGACGTTTGGTCCATTTATAAATCGTCAAAATTGAATTATTTAGTAAATAACGTATAATCAAGATATGATCTACCAGAAAATCGCTCCTAACAAAAAATTGTGAGTTCAAATCGCCCTCAATAATTATTCGAAAAAAAACCACTATAAGCGAATCATTTTGTCAAATTGGGTACATTACAACGCGTCAGAATAATTTTATTCAGAAGCTAGAACGATGATTAGAAAAAACTAGATAATTATGAAACAACAAAAAAAGGGTTAAAAAAAAAATGCAGGCATCGTACTTACACACAGTCACACAGTCGGAAAGTGCACGCTCCCCTCCAAGAAGCAGGAAAGGTAGGGCAACGGGAGTAGATGAATGGATGATAATCATGATATGATACTTGTACCAAAAGAGATAGAGATGATTGGTTTTTTCGGCTTTGTCAAATTGGGCATAAGGGCTAAACAACAACAACAAGAGATGCTGTGCCGTGTGCTTGTAAAGCAATTGGGCGTGAACCATGAAACATGATTGCCAACTATTTCCAGATAATGACTCTTGCTTGCTCTCTCTCTTTCACCTTAATTCTTCTTTTTGTTTCTAACATTTTGAAATACTTAATATTACTACTGTCCTTTCCTATTTAAACACGTGTTGATGGTTTTCATGGTACGGTATGCGGTATTCGTTGATGGTAGTAGCAAGATGATTAATTTTATCATGAATATCGAGTGCTTTGTACGTAATTATTAGGTTGGATTATTGAGTTTGGTTTAGAGATTGAATCTGACATGGGAATGAGTTAAGTAAAGGAAGGCACTAGTGGAGATATCGCACACACATGTTGAAGAATGTCACTTCGGATTTCATAAGCATAGAAGTCACGGGTCTACAAAAAACTGCTGACTTGTAAGGCATATACAATTAAAATATTTATATAATGAAAGTTAATTTCGATAGTGATTATCTGAATTACCGGTACAAATCTCAAAACTACTCAATGTGAATTATTTTTTTAGAATAGAGATATGACATAGGGACGGTGGGAGGCCGGTAAAGCAACTGAATGATTTACTGAACTTAATGAAGTCATCACATAGGGTTATCATTTCATTCGGGCACAGGCGATTGATTATGATAATGAACAATCGAATTTCATTTGTAAAATGAGTAGATCTTTAGGATTGAATCAGTAAAATAGAAAGAATGTGCAAGTTAACTAACATTCTTTCAACTAGAAGAAAACAACTACATTTATAGTTAGATGGACATCGAGTTTTTAATTCCTTTAAAGCTAGACCTAAAAGTAATAATTTGTGTAGGTAATTATCAAAAACGGTTGTTGGTGATCAATCAATATCAAAACCAAATCATAGACGAGAAAATTGTCGTACAAGACAAATGCACTTTTACACCGAAAAAAGGCTATTTGGAACGTAACATGTTAGCGACTAATTAAGTTCATCATTGCACGTAAACAATTACATAACGAACTTAAAGTGAAGAACACTACTGATCGATTAATAATAATGCGAATCATATCTCTTCTCCCTCAATGATTAAGGCCTTTTTGTCTTAATTAGTCATAGAAGAAGAGTTTGATCTATACCCGCAAGTTATGTTTCCATTCAGCCTTTAATTATGATTTAAAGAAACAAATTCACAATGATAGTTTTGCCGTGTTCATATAGAGAAATGACTACAATTTTTTTTTCTTATATAATATTGTGTCTTATCATCGACAACATTGACTAATCCGCACATTGAATTATTCATTATCATTATATGACTAGTGCCGTACAAATTAGGTAATTTTATTACTATACAAAGGGTACCTTTTCTCCTTATTTTACATATCCAACACCACTATACATATGTACAAACTTTCCTAGAATTTTATCTTTGGGATGTTAACACTTGTTTTGTAAGTTTTTGGCACGCGCTAGTTCTTATAGGTCAACATCGATGTTCTTGACGAGTTTATGCTAGCTTGATCAAGAGAAAAGAATATTAGTGCTTGTTTCAGTTTTGTTTTCATTTTTAACTTGAATGTAGAAAGTGTTTTAAGTGGAAAACATAATGCAAGATGAAAAGTTGTTTGGATTATATTTTAGTAAAAAGTTGTTTGGATGGTGGTTGGGAAAATTTTTTTTGGAATATGTATTTAAATATCAAGTACGAAAAATATCACTAAATACTTAAAAAGTGTCAATTTTAGTCACTGTAAAAAAATTTTTAAAAAATGATCACTAGACAACGGAATAACTTCTAAAATTAATATTTTACAGTGACTAAAATTGACACTTTTCCGTTGTTTAGTGATCATTTTTAAAATTTTTTTACAGTGGCTAAAATTGACACTTTTCGATTGTTTAATGATATTTTTCGTACTTGATATTTCAATACATATTCCAAAAATTTTTTTCCTAACAGCCATCCGATTGGGCCTTGGTTTTTTGACTAGAGGCAAACTAAAATAAATGTGCAAAGTTTTGGATTTAATCACTGAACTATTTTTAGTTCAAAAAATGGTTACTGCACTAACAAAATGTTTCAAGTTTGATTTTAAAATGTAAATCAGAAAGTTGTTTGAACGTCAGTTTAGTTTATATTAGATTTTGTGTTTAAGAAGCAAAATGAGTTGAAAATGCAAAATGACTGGACGTCCAAACAAGCCCTTATTACTTGTTAACTTGGGTGGGAAAAATCATCAAGAAAAGTCATGGTACAAATTACAAAATCATCTAGTTGCTTCGGAAAATTAAAAGGTGACCAACTAACCATATAAATATGGATGATATCAAATAATTTGGGTTCAAAACTCCAAGGGACAAGGAGTGCGTTAGGCAAAGTTATTCCCCCCCACCATATATATGGCTTTCAAGACGTTAGACAATGACTTCTTCAAATCTTTTTCAACTTTAATATTTTTTTCCCAGTGCATGGAAATGTCTTTTTCCATTATTTTTCTTTTTTTTTCTTCTACAAATCGTGAAGATCTAATTTATTTTTATTTCTTTTTCTGGTGATTTCTTTTCCTTCTTCTATGGATATTAATCACACCGCCCATTCCTTTTTAACAAGACACCTAAGATATTGGGAAAATGATGTGCGAACAGAACAATTGAAAACTCAGTTCTTTAACCCAAAACTAATAATAACATTAAATAAAATCACTGAGCTCTTTTTAGCTATTTATTATTTTCGTGTACTATAAAGCAACGAGAAGAGAAAAAAAAATGTATTACTCACTTATTTTCTTTCTTTCTTTTTTTCACCTATATATGGTTTCATTCCCAACTTAAAAAACTGCACAAAAGAAATATGGTTCTTTTAGGGGGGAAAAAAGGGAAGCGCAAAAGACATACGGATAGAAGTAGAAAATGAAACTGATAATTATTGGAGTATATCTCTATTTAGTATTTAGGTGACTAAAAATGAAAATTATGTATATTCCCAAATAAGGGCAAAATAATAAAGAAGGTGAACTTATATTATTATTGGCTCCGAAGTATTAATTTTATTATTATTGGCTCCGAAGTATTAATTTTCGCAAGTCCAAATAGCAGTAAGTGTGTAGGGTCTGTGCAACAACAGCGCTGCCAAACGGAATTTATGTAAATCTCGCAGAGCCCACTTCAAAGATATTCCACAGCAAAGCAATATACACCTACATAATTCATCGACACATGCAAAATTCAAAACGATTACGAATTAAATCAACGCTTTCAGATACTTAATTCCTGATATATAGAAGGAAAAAAAATTTGTTAGGCGCAAAGTATTGGGGTTTTTTTTTCGTAAAAAAAAAAAGCAAATAATATTTCACGAATTCCACTGATTAACAATGAGAAGAAACAAAAAAAAAGAAGAAGAAGAAAATCATACTTTCAATTATACAAAGTTTAGATCATAAACAACATGATAATAGTATTTACTTTGTGTATAAAACATAAAAATGTCGATCTATCTGACTTAATATAAAAACATATTAATAACGGGACTATGAATCTATTGTCGGACATATATATCAGTCATTAGTGTAAGTTTTGTCCAAAATTAGATTTTATGTTTTTTAACAACCACTAAAGGAAGTCGGTCTCGAACTGATTGTCCAATTTAAAATTTCAGACATTTTATACAGAAAATAAAATTTCAAACTGAACAATAATGAAGGTTTGGGCATAGGGTTGTTACTTTGTGTTGAGATGAATAAAGGAGAAGAAAAGAAAAAACGTGAAATTGAAGTAAGTGAAACGCGTGATCCAAGATGATGAATGTCATCGATCATCATCCACCACCACTGACGACTTTTTGGAGATTTTTGGGTTCTCATGAGGAATGAATAAAGCAGAGTAATATTGTTTGCATGCAATTTATGACTGAGACTGCTATTGTTGCATAGCTAGAGAGAGTTGATCAGACTTTAAAAGGAAAAAAATGACAATAAGTCGCTGTCTTTTTATTTATAACTTTGATCGTAATATTGCAGCAACTTGCAGAGTCACACACTGGCCAGGCAACTCGAGGCGATCGAGCTCTCTCTTTTCTGCCTCATCAGCCTCCTCTCTGCTGCCTGCCATATATTGCTATCAATTTGGCTGTATTTCAAGAAAGAGTAAAGAGTATGAAAGGAACATTACTTAAATACATGTAAATCATACTCTTTCAAAATCAATTTTGGTCATGTAATAAGCAGCAACTAATAAATTTCATAAAATAAGGTGTTTACTTACTATCGACAACAATGATTAATTATATTAAAGTTTTGGCTTCTGTTCAATTTCAGCTCTCTCGAATTGAGAATACTTTGTCTTTTCTTTTATGAAATGAAAAATTATATTCCCAATCAAGCTCTCAATCACAGTATCGTGGTACTAACGAATATGCCTTATCACTTTATTTAATTCTCAAAGTAGTAGTTATAAAAGTCTTTGTTTCAAAAAAATGGGTTCCAGAAGTGATTTTTTTTTTCCAAAATAAAAAATTAATTACTAGGTACAAAGATTATGGTATAAACTAGCTAGTACAATCATCATGTAGCTGGCGATATTGTATGGCCCATTTCGACATTGCGGAAAATATGACGGAACGATCCTCAATTGATGAATCTAGCGTACAACTCAACTAATTAGAAAGGAACTATCATCTCCACTGGGAGAGGGGGGGGGGGAACCCGATATATACATAGCAGCATCACATCAATAGGGGAATTCGGGATGATTGCAAACAGTTGACATCGATCAGAAAACAAGTTGATTCCATAATTAGAGTATATATAGACATTCAAACTAATTCCCGTTAAACTGAGGCGGATGGAATATATATGTATGTTGTTTTCATGCTTTTATCGTTATATCCTTTTTTCAACTAGATTATTAGTTGATAACAAGTTGTTATTTATTTGACTCGGTATCAATCAACATGCAACTTACACTTGAGGTAGCCTAACTAGCTATAGCAAGAATCCTTGTAGGTTTTCTAGATAGGAATGGACCTTCCACTAACGGAAAACTGGAAACCTGAAAAATTTTCTAACATCAAATGACTTTGGCACGAGGTTTAATTTTCAGATGTGAACAGCTTAACGAAGCCTTTTTTGTTGTTGTTGTGAGTCACTTGCGATTGTTAAGTTGGCGATCAGGACAACACACAAGTGGAGCAAGAATGTCAATTTGATTGTAAAATCAATTGCTCTCTTAACTAACATCACTATCTTCAAAGGGATATATTTTTTTGCCAAGATAACTACTAAGCCTAATCCATATTATCTTTACGTCAAATTAAACGGCTTTTTCTTCTCACATTTTTATTAAAAGTGATTTGTTTGCCCGATTTTGCTAGCAGGCGTGACGGCATTATTAATCACTCGACAGATTCCTTGCTGTTTAATGAGCTTTTTTTTTTTTTTTTCCCAAAACAAACAAATAGCATATTAAAAATGAACGTAAATATATCTCTCACATCCTTTCATAACACGAGCAACACCAGCAGCGCCGCTAGCTCTCGCCGGAGTATTGCAGGTGGTTTTCTCTCCAGATTTGGTTGAATCTAGCTGGTTGGCGGCGGTAATCGATGCCGCCGGCTAGCCGACTATAGGCTTTAGGAAGGTGATTAGGACTACACGGAATTAAAGAGGCGATGAATAATAAACTAAAATGTTGGAAGTTATTCATCACGTGAGAATAAATAAATTGTAGTCGTGGAAATTTTGTGTACACACTAAAAAAAAAAAAATGTAAAAAACCTCAACATCCGTTTCTATTAGGTGCTAGCTCAATATAATGTTTGTTAGCAATAACTTTGTTTTTTCATCAATGGATATAGGTGTGATATGATCTACTACAAGGTTATGCAGCGAATAAATTAAACACGAACATACACAAAGTTTTCCATCCACGAAATGTATTGATTTTTTCTTTTAAGCATCGAAAAGAATTCATTAAAAGATTTAAAATAGTAGTCACATTTTCATGACGATATTTGAACACCCAAATAAGAGGAAAAGTTCAAAATTACTTCGTTATAATGACAAGACTCGACGAACACCGAAATGAGAGATTTTATCTCGTTGGACAGGAGATGGCAAATTTGATAATGAGTCAGCCACACTGCTAGCCTTTAATTTTTATTGGAGATATGCACAATCTAAATGAACAATTCGGAAGCCCAAAAAATTGTTGCTCTGTTAACATCAACTATAGCTTGTTTTAATTCATGTCGGTTGATTAAAATCAAAAGAAATCACGTATCAGAAATGCATAATCTAATATTCAATAAAATGTAGTATAATAATTTACATGCTTCTAATTAATAAAATTACTTTCTTAAAAGAAAAACTCTTACGGAGTACCAGTTGTTAACAGTTACCACACAACCAATTTGATCAAAGTATGTCATCTTTGATCATATTCTCATGAAATGAAACATCACTGCTCATTTCGGTGAATTGGGCCTTTTTGTTGTTACCTACTTGAGTTCCACCAGATACAATCCATTCACAATTCAACCCAGGTCTTTATTGGGCTTTGAAATTTTTCAAACTCTTTTTAGGTGGCGCGGGTAAATTAAAATTAAAAATATTCCGATTCCGACAGCTTTGAAATTGTTGGCAAAAACCGGCGGAACCAGTTTCCCCCCCCTTCCCTCCCTCCATCTCGCGCCATTCCAAATATTTTGTTTCGTTTTCAATTTCGAACCCCCCCAAATACATAATTCTTAAATTCTCCCTCCTTCTTCCCAACCAAAAATTTTCCCCTTCTAAAACAGAACAGAGCAATGTTTTAAAACTTTCAATTTCTATCCCTCCAAAATCCCCAAATCTTCCAACCACAAATAAAACCATTCTACCTATAAATCAATCCCAGCACCAACAATTGTTCATCCTCAACAAATTCTTTCTCACCTTCTATAAACTTCAGCTTTAGATTCAATAAACCCATAAGAAAAAATAAGAAAATGGAGGCCATTGTTTTGAAGGTTGAGCTCGATGATAACAAGGAGAACATCAACCCATTACCGTCCACTCAATTTAGCTCAAACAAGGTGACAAATGGCGGCTTCCCACTTCTGGAGATGCCCAAATCGAAGAACCCAATTGCTGATAGAAAGCCGATCAGGAGGCCGCTCCAGGACATCACTCATCTGTTCGTGGATTCTCGGGCACCGGTGCTCCGATTCAGCTCCCCTTCTGGATGTCGTTTTCAGAGTTCTGCGATTCCGGTTGCAGAGTGCCGGAAAAGAAAGCTGGCTGATGCCGGTGTTGGGTTCGATTCGATGAGGAAGAACGCCGGGAAGATTCTCAGAACAGGATTCCGATAACCTGCCCCTTTCACTTTTATTTGGGTTGATTTATACAGATTCAATAAGTAAATGTAATACAGAAAAGATCTGCAGGGAGTATTTTTTTGGTGTTGATTCAACCGATTTTTTTGACTTTTCTGAGAGCAAATTACAGTGTCAGAGTAGGGTTGATAGTAATGTTAAAATTTTAATTATTTTTCCATTTTTTGAGATGTTCGTTTCTCTTGGGGAAAAATCACTAAAATATTTTTATATATATTTGCTACATTTATTAGTTTCCCATTTTACGAAGAAAAAAAGGACCAGAGTTTTTATTTTCTTTGAAAGTGAACAAGATTTTCATCTTTTAAACAGAAAAATACAAAAAGGAGAATCTATCTAACAAATCTCGTTAAAATGGACATTCATGATTCAACAATTAGTAGATATGCTGTCAACCTAATTTGAAAAGGAAAAAAAAAAAAAAAGAAGAAGAAAAGGAATAAAGCAAAATCGATACACTCAATTGAATAAGTACTTTTCCCCCTTCTACATTTTTATTTATCTCCTCTTTAATGATGGACTTAGAATGAAAGATTTCCATTCCTAGACTCCGAACATATATTTTCTAGAAAAATTTGATGCCGGTGAAGAACATGATTGATCGGTAAACTTAGTGTGGAGTTGAGTTAATTTATATATATGTGTATGACGATAATGAAACTGATGAAACCACAATCAGAATAACAATAATCATTTAAATTTAGCAATTTTCTAAAATATTTTACTTCGTTGGCCAAGCCCGGAATTAGTAGTGGTTTTCTTTTAATTCTACCTTTTTATTTTTTAAGTTTTTCCTTTTTGTGGCTATTTCATGCATTCCCAACCTTGACTTATTATTTGTTTGGTATAAAAGAGAAAACGGAAACCTAAATTTATGATATTACAACATTATTATTTAAACCTATCAAGGAGGCTTTCATAGTATTACTATAATACTACAATTTGGGGGGGGGGGCGCAAGATTCAATCATAACTTAGGATGCACAATGTAATTTGTCCTTTCATTAAGGAGAACAAAAAGAACATTTTTTATTTTCATTTCGATAGTTTGTGAGATATGAACTTGTAATTTTCGCTAAAATTTAGTATTTTTTTTGGTCTAAAAATTATTATTCACTTTGAATTCTCACTTTTACACAATTTAAACTTATAAAATAAAATTTTGACACGGAATTAATATAACCCATTGGATCAATGGTACTTTCCATTTGAGCAATCAGTGAAAATTGAGCTAATAATTAAGCTCCTACCTAAAGAAATTCCCCTAGCAAGTTAGCATATCTAGAAATTGCTCAATCGTCAAGGTTGGGGTTCGCATACAACTCCACACGAGAGGTCAGAGGAGGTTATGGTTTAAGGGCGCCTTATGAATGACTAAATTTTTAAGCATAATTTTATTTGTTTGTTTTTGCTCTAAATCTATTGGAAATCTATAAATCTTTGATACTACTAGATATTTGTAATTTAAGATGCATAATTTTCATTTCATAAATGGATTAGTAGGCACTGGACACTGAACACATCTTTCCAGAAAAAATTCTCAATCACAAAAATGTTCAACTCTGCTATTTCATTCGATTTTCTAATGATTTAAGTTACCATTTGAAACAAATGTGAAGTTTATTTTTTAAGTTTTGAATCAACAGATTCGTGAACAGATTCAATTAATCAACATATAATCTAGTAAATAGATGCTATACCGACGAGGCTTTTTGGCTTATCTACCCTGTCTCTAACTTGTTCTGTTAGCTCATAGTGAGCAAAAATGGCTCTATTACTACATAGCCTATCAATTTGACCTGTAAATTTTGTCTGAAACCCCCAAAGACTCCAAAATAATAGGCCATCACTTTTGTCCTGCTCAGAACTTGGATTTTTCCCTAATGAAAAGTTGATGATCATGTGTATATATCTGTCAAATAGTTCTATATATAACCACTGAACTTTAATTTTAAACGTAGGACTGGAAAGTTAAATTTAAACCAGCTAGATTTTGTAAATCTGAAGTTGCCAATGGCTAACATTCAAGTAATTCCAAGATCCTGTTGACAAGGGAAGTAGGGGGCGCTTGGATTTGTTGATGCAGACATTACCATTTCCCAGTGCAGCCATTGGAAATGATTCTTTCAGTTGAAACTTTGGGTTCGCCACAGCGTTTGTTTATTCTTTTAGCTTTGATTACTGCCAAAGAGTTCATTTTCAACCTGATTTAAGAATGAATTTGCAGTACAAGGGTAAAAAGTTGGAGAGTTTTAAACCTAGTCATGATCAAATAAAGTACCAACGGTGTTGTACAACAGCACTTTTTGTCATTTTTCTCAGTTTCTTAAGAAATTCTCAAAGAGAGTAGCACTTTGTGAGAGCCTTATAATCCTTAAATTCTCTATAGTATGGATGTAAAGTAAGCCTGCTGATCATAAAGACCACATATCATAGAAAAAAAAAAAGAAAGAAGCTACTTGGCTTATAGACACCAAGTCCATTATTTTACGTCGAAATAAGGAGTGTGTTGAGGTCATTAATACGAATAGTTGTCCCATTCTGGGAATAATAGAGAACAATTAATAAGTAAGTTGGTCTCAAAACTTGTCACTTAGAGGTTCTAGGTTGAGTGGATTCTTACTTATTAGGTTCGATATTGAAAATTTCTGGCCTTATCTACCGGGTCGGAATTCGTGACCATGTGACAAAGTTGACGCAACTATTATCCTTATTTTGAGAGTAAAACCGGAAAATCAGACTTGATACTTACAACTGCATATCAATGTTTGTAGGATCGTGATCCTACGTAGGATTGAAATGGGGTAATAGAATCGGATCGTAAATGAGATCGACATGATCGAAATTGTAGGATCATAAAATTAACTATACATGTTATAATAATTAATTACTTAAATAATTAGGTTTAATTATCTTTACATAAAGTATTTAACATTAAAACTAAAAGAAATGTGTAAATTCAATTTTCTTATATGAATTTTTAAATAATTTTTTAATAAAAACTCTTCTCTTATAGTTCTACTTTCTATTTTATTAGAAATTTTTTAAAAAATATATTTTTCTTAGCAATAAAAGTTTCCTCAAATAATATTAGTCTCAATTGAATGTGAACCAAAAGAAATAAGAGGAAAAAAAAATCTCAATATCCTACAATCCTGTACGATCCTGACCGATCCCACTCCGATCTCATTGCAAAATTCGATAATTGATCCAAGATAAATTTCGGTACCTGGGATCGTAGGATCGGACGATCCAAGATCACGAGTTTTCAAACCAGCATATCCAATTGTTCATAACAGGGCAGAGTTGCTGGTTATTAAGCTAGCTCTAAGATATTACCTGAAAATTCGATATATAACAAGATGGTGTTTGCGTACTAAGTTGACTCTTGAACGCTATTACATTTAAAGCTCTTCGGTTTCTCAAAGGGTTGCCCTTTAAACAAATTAAGGTCGCTGATGACTAGATTCACACCTTAATTGGAGCGGAATATTTAAATAGGGCATGTCACTACCAATTAAAATCTTGTGAATGTTAGGATGATTGGTCCTAGGTTAGATTTCTTTAGGTCTAGTGAGCTCAAATGATTTGGACTGCTCTTAACTAATGATGCATTGGCTGCGAAACGCCATTTGTCTCCCACTTTATATTTCTAAACTAAATTCTTGGACCTCAAAACGGCTATATATACAATGATCACTTGGATCATCTGGTTGATATGTACTAAGTTATCAGTTCTAAGCTCTCTAATCAAACAGAATAATAATGGCTTCTTGGAAGTCTTCCTTCTGCCTTGCCATTTTCCTGCTTATGGTTGTTAGGTCAGAAAGTCGGCCTCTTTTAGGAACAAACCATGAAGGGATGAATCCAACTGAATTTTTCAGAGCAATTTTCGAAAGACAGAAAGCACTTGATGTAGTATCTTCATCAGATGACAAAAACAATGAAGGCCATTACAAGCCTGAAAGAGCTGCTCCAGCAGGCCCTGACCCCTACCATCATTAATTCCACGAATCATGAGTTTTGGACACAAAGAGACTGAATAAAAAGAGAAGCATCTTCTAAAGAAGTCAACGCGGGGAAGGTCCTTTTAATTTGTTGCACTTAATGTCGTAGTGTGTTTAGTTAATTAGGCTTAATCAGAATAGTGCATCACTGCATTGTATGCACAAGTATGGATATTGTTTTAACAAAAAAAAAAAAGTATGGATATTGAGAAGTACTTTAATTTCTTTCCGCAACTAGTTTTGTTGTTGAAGTTAGAGAATCAAATAGTTTGTAAGCACATGTATTTTGTAGTTTAGATAAATTAATGTAAGAAATAACGCAAATGATCGAAGTGGTTGAAATGGGAACCTTTGCTTCTTCATATCTTTTGATCGATAAATCACTTACCTATGATAGAGATGGCACTTATTACTGCAATATACTTATATCATAAAATTTTTTGACTGAAATGTTACTTTTTTATTAGGCAATTAAAAAGTGAGAACCTTTGCTTTGATCATCAAGACCAGGAATAATGGTCAAAATTTATCTAATGTACGCACTAAAGTCAGTTACGGCTACATTAAGTCAGCAAACTTAGTTAGGAATACAGAATTCGATTAAGAATTGAGTGTGTGTATATAAATATATATAAACTATAAAATAGACATTAGTAAGACTAGTTTATCTAAAGGATAGTGACGTGGAAAGCGCTAACCGTGACATGAAAAGGTATAGGGGGCTTGATTTGTTATTTACATATAGGCAATCGAAGGGATTATTCTTTATCCAAAACGTCGGCAAAATAAATAGTTATAAACTTGTTACAACTTATCTACTTCATGTACAGTCTGTTGGGACAAAAAATCCCACATTGATGTCGTGAAGGATCAATCACCTGTTTATAAGTGCCAACTGCCAACCCACTCATAACCAATTAGTTTTGAGTGTGGAGCTCAAGGTGACTTTGACATGGTATCAGAGACCACGATCTGTGGACCTGTAATAACTATGGACCCGCGTGTGCGGGCTTGGACCCGTGTTCCTTGGACTTGCGTCAATCGCTTCCGTGCGCATGGGTGGGCTTGTAGTCTGATCCGGCAGTATATTCGGAGTATGTACCCGTGTGTACGGACTTCTTACTGACCCATCAGTATATCTGGTGAGATCCGCGTGTGCGGGCTTGGACCCGTGTGCCTTGGACTTGCGTCAATCGCTTCCGTGCGCACGGGTGGGCTTGTAGTATGATCCAGCAGTATATTCGGAATATGTACCCGGGTGTACGGACTTCTGTATTGACCCAACAATATATCTGGTGAATTATATTGTATTGTGCAACCCCAATGGGCCAAATACCCCATTGGGCTTAAGGGAGGGTGTTGGGACAAAAAATCCCACATCGGTGTCGTGAAAGATGTGGTTTATGCTACATCATGTCAATACTAGAATTGTTGGTTTATGCTTCAAAGGTTAAATATGACACAAGAACCAAAGTTCAAACGATACAGAGTTAACGTTGGCATTTCTATTTTTTTGGTACAGAGGAGGATGCAAACACTAAACAGTTTTGAACACTTACAGTCATTTTTCTCTTATGATCGGTTACTAATTAAATAATTGACACATGTTTAATAAGTAATTGGTGTCACACATTCGTGCTGTGTGGATTCCGAGCTAGCAACTTAATGAAATTCATTTCTTAAAAAAAATTGGTGTCACACTGTGTCACACGGATCAAAAACTCCGACTTGCTGATATTACTTTAACTGATGTTACCGCCAATAGTAATACTCGGGATTGCATGAAAACATAGGCGGACACAGGAGGTGGCCAGTCAGTGCGGCGGCACCCCTCCGATTTTTCATTTTTTAAAAACAATTATTAAATTATTGTTACGTAAAAAGTGTGACGTTTTCATTTTCGAACCCTCTTTAAAAAAATTATAATAATAGTTATAATTCTTTTAATTAATTAATATATGTACAAAAGTTTGTAACAATGTATTGGAGACTAAATGTTGGTAAATCTTAAGTAAACAATATTAAATAGCATAAAGCTTTGCATAAACATACTAGATTTTTCTATTTTTCAAAATGGTAATGATGTAACTCCATTAAAGGTAGTAAAAAGATTTGATAAAAATTAGTGCTTAATCGAGTAAAGTGCTTAACTCTGAATGCTTAACTTTTAAATTTTAATGTCTGAAACAAAATGTTTAATGAACTATTCTTGTTTGATAAAAATACCGATATGAATGCTGAATTGTGTGCATTTGACCAATTCAACCTTTTATAATTTTTAAAAATTTCTTTATTGTAAAATTTTTTTCCCTAAATATGCAATAAATATGTTCATTATGCATAAAATACATACTATAAAATTATTATGTGTTGTGAAATAGCAAACTAAAATGCGCATGGCATTGTTCTCAATATAATGGATGAGCCAAATTATAAAGTATTAAATTTTTAGATCTTTGAAAAAAAACACACACACACACACACATTATGAAATAAATTAAGACTTTTACGGGTGGAAACAACAAGACTTTACTTAATCAAAATGAAACATTAAAATATCTTAAGAATATTTAATTAGTGTATTGAATAATAAAATATTTAAGGGTAATGTTGGTATTTAATAATAAAGAATTAAAAAAAATGGATGAGAGTAATTGTCAATAAGTATTAAGCTAAATTCTATTGCTTAAAATTTGCATTGCTTAAACCAGGTAGTTCAGACCCCTTAGCCTTGTCACTTTCACCATTCATTGGTAAAATGTTCTGTCCATAACTTTTTAAATAATTTTCCACTGAATAACATTGATCCACATATTGTATTGGATCTCTATTTACTGCCCAAATTGCTGAACTGGCATGAAAACATGGGACTCCACATAGTTGCCACTTTACACAGCTACACTCCCTTCTACTCAAGCCAACCGAAAATCCATTGTTTTCAGCATCAGTTACTTCAACTACCACACTGTTGCTTTTCTTTGAAATATATTTTGTTGCAAAATTATCTTAGACCCTTCAAGTATTTTGTGAATTCTTAGTCTTATCCTTCCATTTTGTAGAAGCCCATTCCAAATTCTCAGATACTCTTAGCATAGCATACTTCCTCATATTCCAACTATAGGTTGTGTTCTTGCATCTAAAAGCTTGCCATTTAAAGATTCAATGTGATTATTCAATAGAATATCACAGTTATTTGAAGTACGGAAAAACCCTCTTACCCACTGTCGTTTTGGCATAGCCTTCAACCACGCAGCTGCCTTAGGGTTAAGATGTTTTAGTTTTCACATTTCTTTCTCATATTGTGCTTCAGTGCAGGCTTTTGCGCATCTCTAAAGTGCTCTTCTAAGAGCATCTCCTCTGAAACCATGTTGAATGTTAGCATAGAGATGTTTAACATAGAACCTATGTACAGCCCGGGAAAAAACTTTGTCACTTGCGTGGTCCAAATAATGTAAATATATACCACATTTTAATGGGGGATTAAACAACTGTTCAACCTCCAAGATTCTATAGTTTTCATTCCCCTCATCATCTAACACATGCAAGGTAGAAAACTTGTCCTCAAATTCTACTTGGTGGGCTTCAACACCCTCTTCATCAATATAATGACTGTCTCTATCTCCAACTCCTGTATATGTAAAACCACTTTGTAACTTCTGATTTTTATTTTCCCTGTATGAACCGTCTTTAAAATCTGATACCGGAGTATGATCTACGTTGTCATCATAATCTCTCTCATCCTCTTCCGAATCAAAGTCACTCCGATTTTTATTGTTGTCATCACTTTCTTCACTAGCATCTGTCTCGTTCCCTTTATCAACAGTGTCACAAACATTCCTAAGCACAACCTCGTCATCATAAGCCAAAGCATAAATAACCAGTAATCTATCTCCTCTTAAAGGTTCCTTACACAAAGCTTGTAACCTACTGTTTGTACTTATCTTTTCCAAACCAATTTGTTCACTCGCACAATATAGATTAACCATTCCTCGCACTCCTATCTTGCTGCACCATGTAACGAAATCAACTGGGGTGATATTCAATAATTGCACTCTATCAAACAAGCTGAGCTTCCCACCTTCATACGCAGGGAATGGAAAGGATGTTACATGTCCCTCGCAACTTAATCATTGATCTTAACATTATGAACCACTGTGAATAATTTAACACTATATCCATTGATCATAAAAAGACATTTTTTCACAAAAATTTCAAGTAAATAAATAGACTAAAGAAACTATTATAATTCACTTGCGAACACAATAAAGGAAACAAAAACCAGCAAATAAACCATATGTGAAAAAGAAGAAAAAAGTCAAAAAACAAACCATATATTTTGCTTTAGATCGACAAAGACAAAAGTCTTACAAAATACTAACCACGTCAAAGACAAAACTTTTACGAAGTACTAGCTACCACACTGACAATGAGAATTCAAATCTAGAGAAAACTAACCATATTTTGGAATTGCGTCGTATTCTAACCCTTTTGCATGTAGAACCCACATCAGAGATGGCACTCTTTGCTTGAATTTGCCAATTTATTCCGAGGATTTTGATCCTCGATTTTGGGATTTTCTTTACTCTTACTTTTTAGTTTTAGTTTCCATAGAAAGAAGCCTGATAAAATGAGCCGTTCATTTTACCTCTTTAATTTTGATCATTTACTTATTTTTCTTAGTAATGTGAGGCCAGCAATTTTTTTTTATATTTTGTTGTGGGGAATTTTTCATTTTTTTGCGCCAAAAAAATGGTGACATTCAATCTGCCAACATCGCATTTTTGTGAATAAAAAATTAAAAGTTTGGTCGGAAATTGAACTCCGGTGAGACATTTTGGTCGGTGGGGCAAAATGCCAAAATAAGTTCAAACATTGGGACCAATTTCCAAATGTCTTATATTTGAGATGAGACTGTTTTAATTCCTCAAAACCTTGGGATTAGATATCAAACTTTTCTTAATTTTATGACTTCAACTTACAAAATTTAAAATAAATAATTTGTAAAGGATTTTGAATGAGAAAAAAGGTATTATAGTAGATAGTTTTTTAGCACTAAGCATTTTTCAGTATTTTGGCTCTGATAAGAGAATCCATAATGGTTTACACTATTATAAGTATAATGTTATGAAATTTCAATAATGTACTTTTGTTCAACTTTTCACTACATTGGTTTGCACTGTTAAAATATAATAAAATGAAATAGTTTTAGTATTATCATAAATTCACATTAATTATATTTTAACATCAAAAAGTGTATTATAAAGTGTAAGAATTCTTACACTATACAATATTATCACATTCAACACAATGATAAATAATATAATAAATTGGTTATTTACTAATTATTAACTACCATTGTGGATGCTCTAATGATAATTTTATTTCGCACCCTAATCCAAATTCTGGCTCCACCGTTGTATGAGAAAGACAATTTTCCATTGCATCCAAAGAATTTTGGCATGGACTTACTTACCTTTCTCATATGCCTCTCTAGAGATCTCACGTCCATCAAATCAATTCTTCAACCTCTCGGCTATCACACTCCAATCACTCATTGACTTATAGGATTTTAAATGGGTTTAATCAATTAGTACAACAAAGGCAGTTCACGCGCTCACCATTACAATCGGTCAAAGCCAAACTAACCTTGTTGTTCTCTACAATCGTATCGTCTCAAAGTATTCACCTTTGGGAGAAATTGTTAGATCACCCCGTCACTTGTTTGACAGAATACCAGATCGAAGTGTTGTGTGATACTATAATTGTATGATTAAAGCTTGTTGAAGTGAAGGTCTAATTTTTACTTAGAATTAGGAGTCAATTAGTTAGAATTAGTTTACTTTTGAGTCAATTTTGTATTTCAGGGTGATCAGAGGGCCAATGTAAAAAATCAACATAAATCGGGGCCAAATTACACAAAAGAGTATCAAAATGGACCAGATTGGAAGCTACTGAAAATCAAGGGCTGGAAAGAGCAATTGGAGCTGAACCAGAGGAGGAATCCTTGCTGATGAAGTAAAGATGGTTGCAAGTTGATCACAAGTTGTTGAATTATGCATCAGGAATCGAAGAGAGGAAGAAGGAGCTGCAACCTCTCAATCACTGCTGATGATGCTGCTGAGATGTTGCTGTCAATCTGGGAGAGCCAAGGCCGAAATCTTACTGCAAAGGAAGGATGTACACTACCATCACTGCAAGTTGCTGTCTACCTCAAGTAGAAGAAGAGAAAGAGGGAGAATATGAAGAGAAAGATAGCTGCAACCCTGCTACTTGCCACTTGCTGCTGCTAATAGAAGTGAAGGAATAGCTACTGCAGGAGGAGAGAAATGGTGCTGCAGATGATCCCAGGAGACAAGGAAGAATAGAGCAGTAGATTGAGGTTGAATTGGGGGCTAAAAAGGAAGAAACATAATGATGAAAGGAAGTATGCTGCTGAAGCTACTGCTTGCTACCTCTGCTAGAGCTGCTTCTGAGGATTAAAGAATAAAGAAATGGAGATTTGTGGCTGAAATTGGTAGAGAGACACAGGAGAAGAAGAATAAGAAGGGAAAGCAATGATGAGAGAAAGGTGACTGGTGACAGCTGAAGAGAAGGAGCAGCCAAAAAGAAGGCAGCAACTTGCCAAGTTGCCACATCCACTGTGTGTTACAGGGAAGAAGGCCAAGATCTCAACCAATCCAAGCCTCTCCAAATCTCTATAAATAGTCAGCCAATATCAGTTAGGAAATAAGCATATAGGGAAGTTAGAATTAGATAAAAAATAGAGTAGTTAGTTAGTTAGTTGGATAGAAACATAGTAGTAGCTGCAGCTAGAGTGTAGACTATCACTCGGTCAAGTGACGTAGTACGCTTCCCCAAGTGAGCAGATAGATTCTGCCCTGCTACTAAACTCTCATCCTTTAACCTTTTGCTTTTTATCATGTTTGATCTTTTATACTCAGTTGCTCTCATGTTTAGTTCAATAAACATGAGTAGCGAAACTCAGTTAAGGGTCCAATCCCTACTATCTATATGTGAAGATTTTGATTCATTTTCTTATATGGAGCATTGTTCCTAGTTTAAGTGTTTTAATTAACTTTTTATTTAGACTGATCAACTAGCTAATTGTGCATGCATAATTATGGAATCATGAGAGGGTGAACATAGTTTTAGAATAGGTTAAATTAGTCTATGACAAAGGAGACAACTTTGATTGCAACCCTTTGGTTTCAATCATCAATGAGAGTTAGTTGATTGGCATAGGTGATTAATGAGGTGTGAGAACTTAATGGCTTAGAATAATGAATAATTATCACTAAAAGGTAGGTAATTTAGTTAATTTGGGGCTCTTTACTGGTAACGAAGGGGAAAGTAAAGAATGTAAGTGCCTGATCAAACAATAAATTATGTGTAACAAGACTGAAATGAGTCAAAACTGGATCATATAGATAGGAAAGTGATGACCCTTCTGATTTCTTACTCTGTCAAGTGTCTGTTCTCACTATCTCAAGTGACAATCTGTTCAACTTATTTTCTTTTGCTTGCAATTTAATCATATTTTAAGTGGTTTACTACCACCTCTGTGGATCGACCCTACTTACTGCTAGCTAATAGTTTTAAGTAGGTATTTATTTCTTTTGGAGGTGTCAACGACCGTCTACCAAAAGTGGAGCCCGTTGCCGGGGACGACATTAAAAATCCTTAAACTCCGATTTTGTGTTTTTCTTTTCATCTTTTTAAGCTCTCTATTTTTACCAAAGTTCACACACTCATTCAAAAATCTTGTTATTGTTACTGTCACGTCTGATCCTAGTTTATGACTAGAGGAAATCTTTCTGGAGAGCTAAGTTTTGATCAAGAAATCAAAGCCACGGCAAGGAAGTCCTAAAGCCTTGCGAAACAAAAAAGCTATTGCTCACGTTCCTAAAGAAGATCTGAAGCCAATGGCAGAAGTAGTAGGAGCTGATCAAAATCAAGAAGAGGAGCTACAACCAGCTCAACCCAGACTGCTCAGAGAATTACTTTGTACCTCAAGAGGAGGAAGTTCAGACTCCACTTGTGTACAATGATGTTGCAGCAGAGAACTTTGAACTCAAAACTCAAATGATTTAATGGGTGTAAGCTGCTTGTCCTTTCTATGGACTACCTAGTAAAGATCCAAATGAGCACATCAGGAAATTCCTGAGATTGTGCAGCACATTCAAAATCCAAGGTTTTTCCAAAGATAAGGTTTACTTGAGACTGTTTTCATTTACACTGCAAGATTTAGCTGCAAAATGGTTGGACACTCTGCCCAACAACTCAATCAACTCCTGGAATGGACTCAGACAAGTATTCCTCACCAAATTTTTCCCACCTATCAAAACTGCTGCTCTAAGATTAGCCATCGTGATTTTTCAGCAGCATGGGACAAAAACTCTTTATGAGGCTTGGGAAAAGTTTAAGAATCTGATGAGGAAATGTCCTCAGCATGGAGTTGAAAAGCCAATGCAACTGTGCATTTTCTACAATGGGTTACAACAGGCCTCCAAAGAATCACTTGATTCTTCTTCTGAAGGAGTATTCATGATGAAACTAGTAGCAGAGGCAATCCAACTGCTGGAAAATATGTGTGTTAATCATTTCAGGTGGCAAAAGGAGCCTAGAGCTACAACTAAGAAGTGATGAGTTTTGGAGCTTGATGCTACAACTCACTTGCAAGCACAAATGGCAGCCATCACCAGTGAAATAACAAAACTGAGAGCTGACATCAATAAGCCAAAGGCTGATGTCTGTGAGATCTGCACAGGACCTCACAACAGATCTACTTGTCAAACAACCATAGAAGAAGTCCACTTCGTGAGGCAAAACAATGACAGAGGAAGTTTCAAAAATTACAACAATTGGAGGCCTCAGCAAAACAACAACTGGAGCAACCAGCAATCGAGCTATCAGAGACTAGCTCAACCTCCTGGATTTTAGAATCAACCATTCAGAGTTAAAGAGGAAGATAGATTGGATTAAGGTA